TTAGTTGTCATGGCCTTTGGGGAAGAATGGGGAAAGCTGCAGAGACCACTCAAAATGGAGACTCAGCTGTGGGTCTCCCTCCTCCTCCTCCTCCTCCTCCTCCTCCTCCTCCTCCTCCCTCCTCCTTCTCCTCCTTCTCGGGTGCTATTGGCCATCAATCCTGGAGGGAAGAGACAGAGGAAGGAAGGAGAAGCAGGGAACAGGGTCCAGAGGGCTTGTGGGTATGATGGAAACAGCTTTCCAGGAGGCAGCTTCAGTGAGACAGATTAACTTTGTTCCTGAGCGAGGGGAGAGATAAAGAATGAGGACGGAGGCTGGGGCATCACCTAATTTGCATGAAAGAGCACGCTCCTATCTTAACAGCCAAAGCACAAAGCCTAATTACCATGTGTGGCAGCAGGGGGAGAGTGTCTGCAGAGAACTGTGTCAAGGGTCATGCCTGAGATAAGTCAAGTATCCAAGCTCAGGTTCAGTCTCCAAATAAGGTCAGGCAGAGAGCAGGAAGCCTGTGCTGCAGCAAGGGAGTCCTCCCATCTTGCTCTGAGCCGGGGAGAGCTGTCCTGACATGGTAGACTACAACCTTTAACCAGTAGAGCCCTCCAACATAAATCTTCCTTTAATTTAATCTGAGAGCTATGAGATCTATTCCCATAGATACTTTGAATTACACATCAATTAGCTTTTATTCAGACATTCAGCCCAAGTTATCTGTCATCTGGGAAAATGGGGACCCACTTTAAGCTTTAATTTTATCAATGTCCTCTCAAACTAATAGTGCTTCTGTTGCCAGAAGCTATTGAAAATACCCTCTTCAAAACGAAACAGTTACACCAGGCTTTCAAGGGATCTTTGGAAGTAATTTTCAAAGGCAATGACCACCATACCACAAACAATATCCCAATTCTTGAGAAAATAAATGTTCATAACAAGTTGCTCTAGAAATAACAACCAAGAAAAGCATGTCGACAGAAGCCCACCATGTTAGTAGCATAAATAGATGCACTATAAATAGTACTCATTATGTTGGTGAGCATCTCCAACTGTCTCTGGGTCAGGTGACGTCATGCTTCCAAAATGTGAGCAGATAGTCTCCTCTTCATCTCTTAGAGACCTCTTAGAGACCCTTTCCTGGTGCAATGGTGGCCGTAGTACATCCAGAAATTTTGTTACAGGCATGATTCTACATTCTAAAAATTACCATGGCCATATGAAATAAGTACACATTTTATTAATATAAAAGATACTGTTAATTATGTTACATATCAGGATGAATTTATAGATGAGAAACCATTGCTCTTAGATTGCAAGTCTCTAACCCCAGGAGGTCAGTCTCAGCCCCAAACCAAATTAGTCTTGAGATACTCAGATTATCTGCTGCGCTGACTCACCAAACAAAACTAGAAATGTGTGAATTACAAGTGACAAGAGTATTCTCTTCACTATTTATGTTCCTTCCTTATATCCTCAAACTACTTGTAATTCTTTCATAACAGAAGTTACTCCCAACTTAGTGTAGTTCTATGACTCTTGGCATAGTGAGCAATATACAATGGAGTGGGAATGGTAGATTAGTATGACACCAGTGAGTTTTATTGTCAATTTAACATATCTGAGAAGGGGAAACCTCAGAAGAGAAATTGTCAAGATCAGATTGGCCTGTGGCCATGCCTGTGACAAACTGTCCTCATTACTGACTAATGTAGGAAGGCCCAGCCCACAGTAGATAGAACTATTCCTAGGCAGGAGGATCTAGTTTGTATAAGAAACCTAGCTGAGTGAACCAGTGAGAAAAAGATTAAGTTTGAAGGAAGCACTCCTCCATGGCCTCTGCTTCAGTTACTGCTTACAGATGTCTGCCTTGAACCCCTGGCCTGACTTCTCTCAATAATAGAGTGTGATCTTGAAGTGTGCAATGAAATAAACCCTTTCCTCCCAAGTTTCTTTGGTTATAGTATTTATCACAGAAGCTGAAAGCAAATGAGAAAAAATTAGCACCAGGTGATGTAGACTACACTGTAACTACTGGACCATGTTGGTCTTTGAGAGGATTGTAGTAGCATTTGGAATTTGGGGCTGGAAAGTCTGTTGAATGGTTGAAGCCTGTTGGATTGTTTTGTTGGAGCTTAGAAGATAAGAATATTAAGAGAAACACAGATGATGAAGGCCTGGCTTTGGGAATTTTCAGAAGGAAACGAAGACTTTATCCATGCAAATCGTGTTACCTTTTGACTCAAGAATCTGTTTGCTGGCTAGCAAGAACTGATGAATCAGCTATGACTGATCAACACCACTAAAGTGAAACCTCCCCTTTACTGGGACAAGGGAATATGGAGGCAAAAGAGTAAGCTGTGATTAATAAGAGACCAGCATCCTTGAGACAAATCTTATGGGAAGTATTTCCTTAGGATCAGAGCATAGAAGCTGTGGTCCACTGAGAACAATGCTGCACATCAAGCTGGCAGCAGAAACTGGTGAACAATGGTGAATGATATTTTTTAAGAATCCCTCACATGGTACTGGTTCGAAGACATGGAGTAAATCTGAGGTTTGTTACCATGAGACAGGTCAGCGTTACTAATGAGAGGCAAGAAGAGACCACTGGTTGAAGATAAAGCCCCAGTAGGAATAGGGATCCCAAGATTTTGGAGATGCCAGGACCATGGGATGTCTAGCAAGGACAATGGGAGGTGTGACATGGAGCTGGCCTGAGCCATCCAGAGAAGCTGTGTGTGTGCTGCAGAAGCCAGAGCTGGAGAAGTGTGGCTACCTGTGTCCTTTGGAGGCCAGAAGATTATGAATGAATCTCACATGTTGGATATTGAGCTATTTACATTGTTAAATTTTGGTTTTGGTTTGATATGACTGTAACTGTGCCTGATCCTTCTCTTTTTGAAAAAGAAAGTAGGTAATTTGTAGCTGAAGTTTTCTCTGGTCCTGCCCAATCCCATGGAAACCACAGCCACTTATAAAATAATCACTCAGAAGCTTATATTAATTAAAACTGCTCGGCCATTAGCTCAGGCCTACAACTGACTAGCTCTTACATTTAAATTCATCCCATTTTTTGTTAATCTATATGTTGCCATGTGTTCCGTGGCTTTATCTGTATGCCATTATATGCTGCTTCCTGGAAGGCAGATTGGCATCTCCTGATTCAGCCTTCCTGTTCCCAGAATTCTCATTGTCTGTTTATCCCACTTATACTTCCTGCCTGGCTACTGCCCAATCAGTGCTTTATTTATCAACCAATCAGAGCAACACATTCACAGCATACAGAACATCCCACAGCAGTAATTTGTTTATATATGTGTGTGTATGTGTGTGTGTGTACATATATACATATATGTAACTTGTTTTATATTTAACTTGTTTTATTTATATAGAAATTATTATATATACATACATATGCACCCACAGTTACTATAACTTTAAAAGAGATCTTAGACTTTTAAGTGACAGAAATTTTAAAGGCTGTGGGACTTCTAAAGTTCTTATATTGCTATATTAACATGAGATCTTAGGGAAACTAATGAGCAGTTATGGCTTAACAGTGATACGTTTGTATGTAAAGTTGACAAAGGATAGTTTGTGCTAGTTAGTTTTCACTGTCAACTGACACTCCTGGGAAGAGGAAAGGCCAATTGAGAAACTGCCAGGATCAGATTGGCTTGTGGCCATATCTATGGAGAATAGTCTTGATTATTGATTAATGTGGTAGCACCCAGGCCACCACAGGTAGAACAATCACTAGGAAGTTGGACCTTCGCTATGTAAGAAACTCAAGTGAAAAAGCCAGAAAGAATAAAACTGTAAGCAAATTCTTCCATAGCTGATGCTTGAGTTCCCTCCTGGCTTCCTTCCGTGATGGGTTATATAATGAAAGTATAATACAGTGAACCTCTTGCCTTTGCTTTTGATCATGGTGTTTGCAACAGCGATACAAAGGAAACTAAGACAAGTATATAAATCACAAATATAATGTGCTCAGTAGTAACAATCTAATCTTACAGGGGTGTATTTGTTGGGTGTTGCCTTGGGATTAAAATCAAAAGCACAATTCTAAGATCTCATATATTTGTATCTGTTAAAATGAAGCAAAGGAGATGTCTTACTCCTCCCCAGACAATTTGGGACCTTTGTTATTTAGTGATGGTCTCCGAGAACACTATTCATAGTGTTCCCTAAAAATAAATCTTAACCAGACCTGGCTAAGATTGTGGAAAAGTATATTCTATAAACGGAACTAAAAACGGTCTCTGTTTTGTATGATGAGATTTATCTAGGAACATATAGTTGGTTTGTGTAGTGTGGAAAGAATAAATTATCATTCAGGTCAAGAAAATAAATGTCCTTCAGAATATGTTAGCCAGGAGTGTCCAGTTAATGTAAGAAATGTTCACTTACTGATGAATCTTTCAGTATTTTTAAATAAAAATTAGCTTATAAGAAAGTTACTTTTCTGATCTATTTAATGTAAACTTTCTGTTTAATTTTGACTTACACAGTTTAAAGTGATGTAGATATTATATCCATCCTGAGTCATAGAAAAACATTAAGCACATTTGTTGCCTCATATAGCATGTAGTTGCTGCCTAGGAAGACATATATTGTTCAATATGTGAGCTTTGGAGCCTCTCCTCATTTGGAGAAGAGAGCTCATTGCTCGAGATATGTGGTACAATCAGGTATTGATGCACATTATGCTCTAGGGCAGAAATGTTTCTTGCTACAAGCAGCTCGAAGGGGCTTCCTGTTTCAAAGCTTGCTGTCAGGAAGTAAACAGCCAACAACTTCTCTCTAGTGTCCTCTATCCCAGGATAAATAACTGAAACAATGTGGGAGAAAATAGAAATGTTGAGATAGTATATAACAGAAACCCGAAAAGGTTATTTTTTGATGTTCACTTGACTTTATGTAAAACAATGCTGAATTTGATTCCCATGGACACTATAACAAAAGAGTAGAAAATGATGAATGGCTTAAAGTAGGTAGGAACTTACAGTTATGGAGCGTAGAAGGCTGAAATCAGGTTGTTGCTGGCCTCTTTCAGCATCCAATGACTCCAAGTGTCCTTTGGTCTGTGGAAACAAAACTCTACATCTTTGTCTTCTCATGAAGTTCTACCCATACGACTCTTTCCATATTTTATTTTAAGATGCCAGCCATACGGAATAAGGCCTGGCCCTATGCCTCTATGACCTTACCTAATTAATATGAAGACAGCCCATTCTACAGAAGGTAGTAATCAGGATGCCTTGGGCTAGAGATTTAGTGTATCTTTTGGGAGGATTCATCTCAAACAATAGGAATTCCCATTAGTAACAAGGCAGAAAGAGGCTGTTACCTTCCTTCTTTCAATCTTTTGAGAATAAAAAAAAAATCACTCTTCCTTTCTTTATAGAACTGACTCATACCTGGCTGCAAGCAGAGGAGGGGGGGAGTTACCATCTCACATGACATTGATGCAAGCAGGAAAATAGTTAAGTCCATTTTCAGCTGCAGTGGAAAAACTTTCTTTAGAGTTAACCTCAAAGAAACTCTGGATAAATAAACCTCAGAAGTAAGAGTGGTTGTAATCTTGACAGAACAGAAACAGCTGGCCTCCAACACTAACTGAGTTCTAGCATGCAAGCAAAGGCAGTCCTCATCCCCACCCTCCTTCCCCTCAAGTGAAAACTCAGACATTTACAGAGCTTCCCTGCTTTCTGTCATTAAGTCCTGTACTGTCTAGTATCTCTTCTGTCCTTAAAAGTTCAACAGTAATCACGTGGCCTGACAATAACAGCATAATAATGATCTAAAGGGGAAAGAGTGACAGTGATGCTGATGGTGGATGTTCTGCCCCATGAACAGTCAGGTAAATACCACAGAAATCAGAAAGGAAAGCATCATTCCTCTGGAACCATGTCATGTGGTACATAACTTAATCCCCAGAGTAAGGAAGTTTGCTTTCGGTTCATGCAGTTTGAAAAGTAGAATAGCCAGCCGCTCTTCATCTTTCAGGCATTATCAGGAATTAATTCTCACTCTGCTACTTATGATCTTTCCTGTCATTCTTGTAGTAGGTTGGGGGGGTGAGGTATCAAAGGGCTGATTCATTCAATAAGCATGTTCATTGAGGAGGCACAGAAAAGTGGGTTTTGGAGACTTTCCAAAATCAATATGAAAGCCCTTTTCGAAGAAGGCCAGCAGTATACATGACATGCAATTTCTTTTTATGTTCTTACCAATAACACCGTTTTATGCATTTTCCAGATCATTATTCTATTCCTAACACATTTACATGTCATGTTTGACAGACAATTCTATTGGTTTTTCTTTGCTGGGGAATCATCCCAAATCCTCCAAACCCCTCCACTGGTCTTCTTTTGCGTGTTGCACAACATGAGATTGTGCTATTCAAGTTCAAGGAAGGAATCTATCTATGACTTTTTTTTCTCCATAAAAAAGAACAACTAGAGAAAAACTAGACAGGTGTCCTAAGATGTATTTTCACTTATCATCCATGAGAAATGTTGCAAATACTTTTAAGTTAAGGAGTACAGAATGAGTTACTTGCCAGGTCACATTTAATGTCAGTTCATACCTAGAAGACTATCCAGGCTGTCACTGACCTTAGCACTATTTCAAATGTAACATTTTTAAAGGATAAAATGTTCCTGACAAATGTCCCAGAGGAATTAGATGTGGGCCTGATACTTTCAACATTACCCATATTTCTTCACCTATGTTTTTTCTTCCACCAAGAAATAGGGAGTCTTTTAAAATAAATGTTGGAGTAAATAACATTTCCAGCTCTAATTCCATGTTTTGGATTATTACTCATACTTAATAGAATCATCATGGAAGTAATGTTCAAAGATGTGCATGTATTTATTTCTTATGAAGCCAAGTGATAGCAAAAGTTCATCAATCAAGAACAGAGAAAACCACAAAATTCTGACCTGAATCAGGGGGTCAAGTCCTGAGAATAATTTTTGGTTATGATTTCTTTATGTTTATTTGGCTTGTTTTTGACAACTTCATACATGTACATACTTAAGTTTGGGAATTTCCCCTTTTATTACATACCCTCATATGCCTTTCTACTGATGAAATTCTAATTCTTCTTAATAAGTCTTCTATGTTGATGTTTTCTTTTTTTTTGAGTCAGCAAGTTTAAATATAATTTCTTTCATAAGCAAGGATATTTTATTTACTGAAACACAGTCAACTTATCCATGAGTACACCACTGAAAGATGTGGTACAGCCTCCCCCGTGCCCACTAACTGTCCATCGTCCTTTAGGGAGCAGTAGAATCTACTGAGCTCCTCTGCCATGAATGATGGAATGGTGACAGATCCTGCAGAGGGAACCACATATGTGATGAGTTTATGGTTATAATTGTCATACCATGTCAAGAAGACAGTGTTTGAAACCACCCTCCCCAACTTCTGGCTCTTACGTTCTTTCTGCATCCATTTTGGTGATGCCCCTAAGCCTCGGAAGAGCCTATATAGACATCTTGTTTATGGACATCTGCTTCACAGTCACCTTTTCTCTACCCTTCAACTATTTGAGTCTCTGGATTTACCCGATGCTCACCACACAGTGAATCTTCTGCTGAGAAAAGGCCGAGTAGCACTAATCTGATCAGTGGTCATTTTTTATGTGTGGGGATGGTTTGCCTGCATTTATGTCTCTGTATCCCATGCATGCCTGGTACCCTGACAGGTCACAGCATGGCAGATGCCCTGGGTTTGTAGTTATAAACAGTGGTGAGCCACTAGGTGGGTGTAATCAAACCCGGCTTCTCTGGAAGAGCACTTAGTGCTTTATCAGCTACCTCCAACACAGATTATTTATTTTTTTTTTTATGTCAGTGATTCCACTGCCTACATCTTATTCCCAAAAACATTCCATGCAATGATGGAAATAATGATTCCATTCATGAATAAGTGTTTAAAGAAAACATATAAAAATGCATTTAAATGTATAGTTTTACTATATTTAAGATTATGTCTTAAATTTAGTAACTTGAAATCTAATGTTTTCTTTTATCAAGCTCTGATCACTTATTTGTTATCCTTTTTAAAGACTTTTTTGGCTGATCTCAGACTTAGATGTAGAAGTAGAATCAAGGACAGCCTATGTCTGTTGGCAATCTGTTCCTGACATTTTTCTTTCTTTACTCTCTTAATCAAAAGGTTAGAAAATTCTGCAGCCTCCTCCATATTTCTTAGCATTTTTTTTCTTCAGAGAAATATGCCTGAACTTTGTTGCAGGTCACATGAGGTAACAAGAATCTTGAATACTGTGGTCCTTGGCTTTTTACTTAGTTTATAGATTTTCTGAAAACATAATGGCACACATTACCTTTTTTTTAAAAAAATGGAAAATTTATGTCAAATTCAGAAAATCACATGATGCATGTTTCTGAGTTGAAGATTCCAGATCTTTGATGAACAGGTCATTTTCATTTAATATTGTCCCATGTGGCTGGAGAGATAGTTTGGTGGTTCAAAGCATTTGCTGCTCTGACAGACGACGACGACACAGCTTTAGTTCCTAGAACCCACATACATGTTGGTTCCCAACCATCCTTAGCTCTGGCTTCAGAGCGTCCAATGACCTCTTCAAACCCCTCTGCACACCAGGCACACATTTGGTACACACACACACACACACACACACACACACACACACACACACACACACACACACATATATGCTGGCAAAATACTTTCATATATACAAAAGTGAATATTTTTAAAGTAGTTTTTAAGTTTTATGGCTAGTCACAAAACAAACTACTAACTTTTTTTGTTACATTGAGAAATGCTGAGCTATTCAGAATGGGAAACTACAAAGGCCTCTTTTTTGATTAAAGAAAACCACTAGATGAGATCTTAAGAGGAAAAGACTAAAACAATGACTTGGAGGAATGCTATTTCAGCTATGTGCATTGTTGAGAATACCACAGGATCTAAGCACACCAGAGAAATTCACCTCATTATTTCCATCATAGAAGGGTAAAATGAGGAGCACTCATGAAAATGAACTTGGGAAGGGGGGTTCCTTCCAATGAAGACAGATTCTTCAAATTCAATTGGTGTCCCAAGTGTCCCACAGAGTAAGGATCTCCCAAGACTCTTTTCACAATGTTTGTTGAAATTCCTAAAGAAGCATGGTGTTGCAAGATGTGAGTAAGAAAATAGCACCACTTTGGGAAATTTTAACATATCAAAAATAGAACAAAGATCCTAAAAGATATCTATGGTATGGGAAACAGATCATTTATGAAAAGGACCAAAAAAAATATCTCCTTGAATTTTAAACTCTTAATAAAAAGCTACTGTAGTTGATGATTCCAGATAAATGCTTTCTAAATTCTGGGGGAAATAGTTTTTAACTGAAAACTCTGTTATTAACTCAAATACAGACAAAAATCTATGCTTTTCACTTGAGGACATGAGAGATGTCTGCTTTTTGTACTCAGTCTAAATGTTTTTTTTTGTGTTCAACCTTAAAACACAGCAGGGACATTCCATGGGTTGGTTTTTTTTAATTAGTATTATAACCATTCATGTACTAACCACAGATAATCCAAATAAAAATGACAGGGTAGAATTATGTAATGAAATCAATGTGTGGGTGAAGATGTGAAAATTTTATGTGCAAAACTTTGTAATGACAAAAATCACTCTATAAAGTCCCCATAGTTTCCCATGATGTATCAGTTGTCCTTTTAATTGTTTCTAGATCTAAACCTCTATTTGTTTCATAGGACAACCATGACAAACTCCCACAAAGATGGTGTCTTAAGGCAAAAGAATTATATCCTTTCATAGCTCTGAATATGAGAAATCTGAGAACAAGGTTGAAATAAATCTACTTGTTGAGAAGGGACTAATGCTTCTGTATTGGTTTCTTTTCTGTTGCTGTCATAAAAATACTATGATCAGTTGTCTCTGTATTTTTTCCCATCAGGGTCTCAATGTCCCTTGCTCATAGAATCACTCCTCTCTCTCATCGATTGGACTCCTGGAGCTCGGCCTGGCACCCGGCCATGGATCTCTGCATCTGCTTCCATCAGTCACTGGATGAGGGCTCTATGATGACAGTGAGGTTATTCAGCCATCTGATCACCTGAGCAGGCCAGTTCATGAATGTACTGTGGACCAATAGCTGAAGAGAGCCCATGGTACTGGATTAGGCTTTCTGGATAGGCAAGACAGTTGTTTAGCTTACACTGTTTAGGGGGCCCCTAGGCAGTGGGATCAGAACCTGTCCCTAGTGCATGAGCTGGCTGTTTGGAG